CTTCCTACTGTTAGTGTATTGATAATCGTAGTTTTGGATCTCAATTTTACATTTTCTTGAATTTGGGAAAGATTTTTTATATAGGACAATGACGCCTCCATATGACTAAAACTGCGTCCTGATAAAACCTTGGTGATTCTCCACTCTCTTCAGACGCCTCCACACTACGCCTTCGAGCACGCCGTCCACGACGACTACGCCGGCACCCACTTCGGCCACTCGGAGGCTCGCGACGGCTACAAGACGGAGGGCAAGTACTTCGTGCACCTCCCCGACGGCCGCGTCCAGACCGTCACTTACTACGCCGACGAGACTGGCTACCACCCCACCGTCTCCTACGAGGGGACGGCCCACTACGACGCCCACGCAGCCGCCCCTGCAAGGCTTACCACGCCCCTGAGCCTGCATATCACGCCCCACCCACCTATCATGCCTAAGAAATATTCTTGTATGAAAAGTACAACGAACATTGTCAATATTTAAAAGACTTTTCTATAATAAAATTTAAAGATGAACTTTGAAACTGATTCTTTGACTCAAACAACAACCTCCTATTCAGTCAAAAATCTCTTATAGACAAAGAAATTCCAGTTGCTTTATTACAAAATATATTTCCTAATGTGATATATATTTTTCACTAAAAACGATTCTTCAAGGAAGATACATGACATATACCATTTTCTGAAAATATCATGATGTGATGTGCGCTTTTCGAGTATTTCGCATATATGGCAATCCGTATTACTTTTAAAAAGGTTCATTTATACGCACATACATATACTAATATATATGTCTATGTATGTAAAGAGAGTAAGAGAGCGATAAACATTAATTGAAAAGTTTATTTAACAGCAATGTACATGCTCTAAAAAATGCTTAAGCCTTTACTGAGGTGAACTTTTGATTTGAGAGGGATTTCATTAGGAAATAAACTGAATGTGTTTAAAGAGCTGCACTAAAAATATCTTTATTGATTTTGCTTATACATGCATAGATGCATACATACAAATTTATATATGCATATATGTATACATATATACACATATATACATGCACTTATACATACATACACACTCATATATATATGTACGTCCATATACATATATAAATATACCCACACACATGTATATATACATATATACATTAGCTATATATCTATGCATATATATAATATATATATTTGAATATACACATATGCTGTCTTATGAACCGTATTCATGTTGACAGTCTGATCCATCGGGGTGACGACGGCCTACGTTTTTCTGTATACAGGAAGCCTACAAATAAAGACGATTATATCCACCATTACTCCGCCTACAGCCATAACACGAAATCTGGGGTTGTAATTGGCTTCTTCCTCTGGGCACTGAGGATCTGCAGCCCTGACTTTCTTGAGACTGAGGTTACATGTGTAATTAATTCTTTCATGAAACATTAATATCCCAAATGTCTCCTGCTAAACCTCAGACAGAAGGCGGAGAACATACTTGTAAGATCACACCCAGTGGCATCTTCTAACTTACTCGTATTACCTCCATGTAACGTTTCCCAGGCGATTAGCAAATGCATAATTAAGTTGTCGATCAGTCTGTAGTTATATCTAACTACAAACACACATTTAATCTGATTGAACTTATTGAATTAAGAGGACCATCAGTCAGACATATCTGAAAACTGCACCCAGTGGTCACGCTGTCTGAATAACTTTCTTATTATTTCTTATGTAAAAAGGGAACAAACAGGAAAATATGAGTTATCATGGAGAAGTTGCAATATTCAAGACTGCTTTTGGTCAGAACTATTTTCATCTATTAACTTTTATAAACAAGGTGTGTATTAAAGAATGCAAAGGGTTTTGACGCGTTCCATAATTTAAAGCAATAATTTTGTTGTTGCACAAAACATTACAATATGCGTAGTCTTGCAATAGTAATTTACTACCTTCGAGATTATAGACTTATAGACTATCAGATAAGGGATATCTCTGATGTCCTAACAATGTTCTCGCCGTACATGGAACCTTGAACATTTTCGCCTACCTTATATATTCCATTCTTTGTAATCTCTGTGACAGCTGATAAGACTTTTCTTATCTGGGCTGCACGCTGGAGATGGTTATGGAGATCTGCATCGGCGAAGCGACCGACCTTGCCACGGGAACAAATTCCAACGGAAAGAGGATGTTCAGTGGACTGCCACCTGATTCCCTGCTCTTCAGTCCGGGTTTCCAAACTGCATTTGATGAACATCTATATATAGAAAACTTAGTTTGAAAGTTCTTTTTCCTGCAAGATGAAGTTGTACTTGGAAAACGTTAATATTTAATGGCATTGTATGTAAGTTCAAAAACTTTCTTTAGGCGGACACAACAGAAGTGACCTTCAGCGGTCAACGCAAGCGGCGCGGCAGCTATATAAAAAGGGCGGCACTTCCCACTAAGTCACAACATTCTCAACCTCAACATGATGCGAAAGGTACTGACTTTGTGCTGGTGCTTCCTGTGGCATTTGAAGGTTTTAAGAAGTGGGAAAGATTTTTAAGTTCCTTTATTAACGCTATTCTATTCGCCAACAGGTAGGCTTGGTGCTGGTGGCAGGCGTGGTCGCCCTCGTTTCAGGAGATATCAGTCACCACGTCAAGAGTTCTCTGCACCACCCACTAGGTCACCATGCTGCTCCGCTACATCATGTAGCCCTGTATGCTACCCAGTGCACCATGCTGCCCCTGTACACCATGCTGTGCACCATGCTGCCCTGTACACCATGGAAAGGGATATGCTCCTGTTTATCCTGATGTAAGTCTTCCTACTGTTAGTGTATTGATAATCGTAGTTTTGGATCTCAATTTTACATTTTCTTGAATTTGGGAAAGATTTTTTATATAGGACAATGACGCCTCCATATGAAACTGCGTCCTGATAAAACCTTGGTGATTCTCCACTCTCTTCAGACGCCTCCACACTACGCCTTCGAGCACGCCGTCCACGACGACTACGCCGGCACCCTTCGGCCACTCGGAGGCTCGCGACGGCTACAAGACGGAGGGCAAGTACTTCGTGCACCTCCCCGACGGCCGCGTCCAGACCGTCACTTACTACGCCGACGAGACTGGCTACCACCCCACCGTCTCCTACGAGGGGACGGCCCACTACGACGCCCACGCAGCCGCCCTGCCAAGGCTTACCACGCCCCCGAGCCAACATATCACGCCCCTGAACCAGCATATCACGCCCCTGAGCCTGCATATCATGCCCCAGTTGTTCCCACCTATCATGCCTAAGAAATATTCCTTGAGTATGAAAAGTACAACGAACATTGTCAATATTTAAAAGACTTTTCTATAATAAAATGAAACTTTGAAACTGATTCTTTGACTCAAACAACAACCTATTCAGTCAAAAATCTCTTATAGACAAAGAAATTCCAGTTGCTTTATTACAAAATATATTTCCTAATGTAGGATATATATTTTTTCACTAAAACCGATTCTTCAAGGAAGATACATGACATATACCATTTTCTGAAAATATCATGAGTGATGTGCGCTTTTCGGGTATTTCGCATATATGGCAATCCGTTTACTTTTAAAAAGGTTCATTTATACGCACATACATATACTAATATATATGTCTATGTATGTAAAGAGAGTAAGAGAGCGATAAACATTTAATTGAAAAGTTTATTTAAACAACAATGTACATGCTCTAAAAAATGCTTATTTACTGAGGTGAACTTTTGATTTGAGAGGGATTTCATTAGGAAATAAACTGAATGTGTTTAAAGAGCTGCACTAAAAATATCTTTATTGATTTTGCTTATACATGCATAGATGCATACATAAATTATATACGCATATATGTATACATATATACACATATATACATACATTATACATACATACACACATATATTATATATAATATATATATATATATATATATATATATATATATATATAATATATATATATATATATGTATCCATATACATATATAAATATACATTATACATTAGCTATATATCTATGCTTATAATATAATATATTTGAATATACACATATGCTGTCTTATGAACCATATTCATGTTGACACTGATCCATCGGGGTGACGACGGCCTACGTTTTTTTTTCTGTATACGGAA